GTCCTGCTGCCATTTGCACATATTCTGCATGTACTCTCATAAAATTAAACAACAATCAATTTTTTATAAAAAAGCTGTAATATACTAAAAGTATTTATTTGTTTGAACGTGCACAATCTAACTGCGCATGTATTGAGTGTAAATAACGTGTAAATTTAGTGGAAAGTGCATTATATATTGTGAAATAGTCCAATACAAGTTGGTGAAAATTACAAACTTTAATAACAAATTACTTAAAAACTATAAAGTTGCGCGCTTTGAAACTTCATACAGGGAACTATTAGACCCCCATCTACCTCCCATATTTTTCTTAATGCTAAACTCCGGGGTTAGCAATCTAAAGCCCACCCTGTAGACGGCGTCGTTTTCCAATTTTTTATGGGAAACAACAACACCACAGATTTTACGGTTAGAAAACGTCTTAAAATGTAGACGTCTACATTTTGAGACACTATTTGGAACGAACTGTGACCACCCCAATTGTGACGAAGTGAAGGCTCCCAAAGTTAAGTAAAAATTTCAATTGAAGTGACAGCGGCAGCTCTGGTACTTGGTTCAAAAGTATCGATACATAAAGTATCGCGTATTTACTTGTATTTACTCAAGAATGATAGAATACAAGATTGCGCCGATCAGAGAGGATTTTTGAGAATAACTTTTGTGTGACGTCACACTGGTGCAATTGCGAGAGAGAAATGCCAAAACGTGAGCAAGAATGGAAGAAGAAGAAAAAATGATGCAAAGGAAAACGTAAACAAGTTGCACCAGTGTGACGTCATGCAAACAACGATTCTGTCAAATTCGTTAAGAGAAAAATAGCGGTACCGAGATCGGCGCAACCTTTGTATTCTCTCAATCGTGGTATTTACTCTTATCATTTCATCCCTACTTGCAAGTTATTTGGCTTTTCTGAAATTTCTTGCTGTTTTTTATTTGATAAACATGGACTTCTAATAGCCCGAACACAATGAAAACGACGAGCTACGGACTACAGCTGTCAAATTATTTTAACACGTACTCATATGTAGATAATTATTTTGGCGACGACCGGGCTACGCGACGGCTGTGGTTGTAGCCAGATTAGATCTATTTCTATTTTTCCGGTGACAGATAAGGTTCTTCCTCTTCTTTTATGTCAAACTCATACAAATTCATGATGTCGCTGCCGCGTTCAAAAAAATCATGTCGCCATCGACAAAGCGTTTAGATAATGAATGAAGATAACAAAGTGGAAGCTGTAGCCCGTAGCTCGTCGTTTTCAATGTGTTCAGAACTTAATATTGAATCATGGACTTCGACGATACCTTTGATTTAATAATAATAATATTATTACTAAATGAGGCCCGTAAATGCCTTGACGTAATATTGAGTAGTCGAACTTCTCATGATCAGGAAGTGTACACAAGGCCGAAAAGAATAGTTAACTTTACCAGAAATGTTAAAAGTGCTGAAAGGGATGTCGAAAGGGATATTGCTGTGTTTAATCAGTATTTTGATAAAATATGTAATAAAGATGAAGAAGTGTTCAATGATATGGTGAATATGTCAAAAGAAGTCTTTGATCTACTCTTTAACTTAGTCAAACAGGACTTAACTAAGCATTCGAATCGTCCATCTATTACACCAAAATGTAGATTATTTGTAACCCTTGTGTAAGTAATAAATTATATGTATGTATATTTCATACCTTCAGTAATTCTTTTATGTAATAATTTTAACACAGATACCTGGCAAATGGAGGCTCCAGAAGAATGCTGGCGTCTGCTTTCGAATTGGGACTGTCCACGGTGCAAAAGATTGTGATCGAAACATGTCAGGTTGTTTGGAGCTCATTATCTCTTACATATCTGCCCATTGAGCAGGCTCCAGACTGGATTGCGCTGTCACAGCAGTTTGAATCGAAATGGAATTTGCCCAACTGCTTGGGAGCAATAGACATAAAAACCATTATATTAAAATGCCCTAACAAAGATATTCCAAATTTGTACGACAAAAAGGGAAAATATTCTATTGCAATGCTTGGTGCTTGTGATGCCAATTATACCTTCACTGGTGTAGATGTTGCGGTGTTTGGGTACAAAGAAGATAATGTAGTTTGGAATACCGGGTTTGCAGAAAAACTATTTGCAGGCAGATTAAACTTGCCGGAAGATAACATTCTTCCAAATAGCAACATAGAATTTCCGTATTATTTCGTGGGCGACACATTAAGTCCCCTAAAAAATCACATAATGAGAATATATCCAGGTAAGCAGTAATTTTATGCGTTAGATGTTTACGCCTAAAAATCTTGTAGAAGCAAATACCCATAAGATAGATTCCAAAACTATAGAAAACCTTAAATCTTCAGATCGTACTATGTCATGTCGTCAGCGTTACGCATTTTCCAAAATAATTCAAATGAGAATTATATTTGTTTCGTTCCTGATTTAATTTTTCATTGAATTATTTTGAATTGCTACTTTACTTAAATTAACGGCAGCTCTAGGAAGCGTGCAGCCTCGACGGGGTCTGTCCATAGGGACAGGGGCGTTAGCGTGGTGGATTTAGAGGGCATACGAAGAGATGCTGTGAGTCATGGGGCGACTCTCCGCATGCCGGGCATTGATTGAGGATATCTTCGTTTAATCTGCTCAGGTTGGAGTTCAACCTGCTGTAGTAACCAGATCGCAGTTGGGAAGTTCTGTTAAAGGCCTGGCGGTAAGCTGTCGGGTCCAGAGGTTGTTTAATGAACCTCGTCCAAGTGGTAAAAAGTGTGGATGAGGATTTTGTAGGGGAGAGGGTTAGGCTCCGTGCAGTGAAGAAGCGAAAAAGCTCGGCGAGATAACCGTTTACACACACAAGTCATCAGTTCCATTCCCGGACGCCATGATCAAGCAATCCTCAGCATAAGAGACAATCGAGACTCCCTCTGGTGGTTGGGGGAGCTTTGAAATGTAAAAGTTAAACAGTAATGCGGATAGGCACCACTCTGTGGAACCCCCTATTTTATTTTCCTCGGTTTGCTCGATTTGTTTCTAAAAGTTACTGACGAGATAACTCTCACTCAGATAATTCGCCGACCACCGTTTGAGTCCCTGTGGGAGAGAGGAGGCCTCTATGTCTTCTAGTAGCGTTGAATGGCTGACAGTGTTGAACGCCTTTGACAGGTCCAGCGCTACTAGAATGGTTCTGCCACAGGGGCGTTTTCGGTTTAGGCCACGAGTTATCTGGGTATTTATGGCGTTTAGTGCTGTTCTTGTGCTGTGCACTTTACGGAATCCATGCGGATGCTTCGCTGGGGTCAGGTGGTTTAATGTCTAGTGTAGATGTTCGGGTGAACCTAAGGAAATTCTCAGTTGGGTCTACGGAATGATGTATGATGGGAAATTGTATTATGTTAAAACAAAACAAAAAACATAACCGAGCTACCCACCTGGTTTTCTATGTTCTCTTTAAATACTAGTTCTGTTCCATATGCTTCCTGGGCCGGGAATCAAGGAATCCCCAAATCGGTTAATTCAACTTGTTACTTAAAGTGCAAGACTACTATATGGACTATTAGTCAAATGGAAATCAAATTTGATTTGGAACAAGTGTAGAATTTATTTGCATAAACTGGTTTGATAGGATACTTCGATCTAATTACATCTAGTGCCAATAAAACCAAATTTTTCAATATTACAGTCCATGGTACAAAAAGAAGCTAGTTTCATTTCAAAAGTTTTGACAAAATATAAGTTTTGAAGTTTCATAAGTTGTACAAAATTATGAGCTACCTTCCCACATTGATAGCAATCAAACAATACCTCAGAGGATCTACTGTTGTGCGTGGGGAATGTTCTGTTATTTGTACAATGATTTTTTGGTGGGGAGCGGAGGGCCCATTTCAAAATGGGGTAAAATTAGCATTTTCACAAAGAAAAATGAAACTCGTGTTAGGCGTACTCCTTCCTAAATAAACCCTTGTACAAATAACCGAACCGTACGCGAACTGTCTTACTTACTTGTCTAAGATGAAACTGCAGTAGTTTTCATCTTATGTGGATAATTTTTGTCACAACTACACAGTTTCGTGCCTATTATTATTGTGGGACCTCCACTTGTTTTACAATTTTTAATCTAAGAATACTTTTGTGAAAGTTGTTTAATTTGTCAATTTTTGAAAAACTTTCATTCACATTTTTTCCTTGTTTGGAACGCAACAAAATTAATTTTTTTAAAAATATAAGTTTTTACTAGTCACTTAGTAAGCAACAATTGGTGACCCCGATTTTTATACCCAAGCGCACTTGTGCACAAGGGTATTATAATTTTGTTCACATAACGGTTGTTTGTAACAGGCAAAACGAATCGAGATAGATATAGACAAATGTATACATAAATGATCAGGATGAAAAGAGAAATCGATTAAGCGGTGACTGTCTGTCCGTCCGTCCGTGCACACGATAACTCGAGTAAAAATTAATATATCTTAACGAAACTTGGTACGTGTACTTCTTTCGGACGTAGGACGGATGGTATTGAAAATGGGAAAAATCGGACAATAACCACGCCTACCTCCCATATAACACTAATTTTCAGAAATACGAAAACTGCGATATTTTAGTAACTACTGAAGATTATTCACTCAAAATTGATATTTACAATAATTTTTAGACGAAAATTGAGACTATTATAAATTTTTGAAAAAATGGGCGTAGCCACGCCCACTTATGGTTACATGTGTATATCTTGGCAACCGCTGCACCGATTTCTTCCAAACTTGGCACTGTTATTGGCCTTGGTACAGGACACCAAATGGCCGAAAATTTTTAAAATCGGACAATAACCACGCCCACATCCTATATAACGGTAATTTGGAGAAATACGAAATCTTCGATAAATCAGTAAATATTAAAGCTAATTTATTGTTGTTGTTGTAGCGGCTACAACAACCCCGCCCAGGACGGTTGGTATCTCAGTCGTTGTCGTCAAGTTCCACTAACGGCAACCCTAGGAAGCGGGCAGCTTCTATGGGGTTTGTCCACAGGGACAAGGCCGTTAGGGTTGTCGGGTTTTCCGGGCATGCGAAGAGATGTTTCGAGTCATGTGGGATCTCTCCGCATGCCGGACACTCATTCGGCACATCCTCATTCAACCTACTCAGGTAGGAGTTCAACCTGCTGCAGTAGCCGGAGCGAAGTTGTGCAAGTGTTGTGCGAGTCTCCCGAGACAGATGAAGCTCCGTCTCGTCTATGTCCGGGGGTGGTATGCCTAGAACGGCATTCACAGGTCTAGAGTCTACATAACTCGAGACTGAGTCCCTGTGAATGCCGTTCAGGGCCTGTCGGTAAGCTATCGGGTCCAGAGGTTGCTTGATGAACCTCTGGACTTCGTCTGTCAGTTCATATAGATGCCTCCAGACGCGCCTAGGCGCGGGCTCCTATGCAAGCAGCTGTCTGCTTGGGTGGCCACTTCTGNTGTGTATATCTTGGCAACCGCTGCACCGATTTCTTCCAAACTTGGCACTGTTATTGGCCTTGGTACAGGACACCAAATGGCCGAAAATTTTTAAAATCGGACAATAACCACGCCCACA